AAGATTTACAACGTGCCCTGCACCCATGTACCAACGGTTTTATTTGAAGACGCCTGGGCAATAGGAGTTTTTGTGCCGAAAATTTGCGGTTTCCGACGCACGATTACAATTTTTTACATTACATAACATTACATTTACATAATATTGAAAAACAGATTTCATTAAGGAAACATATCTATTTTCAGTACTGGTGTTGAAGGATGAGGCCGAAAACAATTTCAACTTCTACACTTTTCGGAACTTTACTATTTTATAGTTGTACTTTTGTCTATCCGAAAAGCTAGTGGACCTACAACAACACATAATTTTTTGCATTGTTTCCAACGCAAATTTTGAAAATTTAGAAAGTTCTCTGAAAGTGAAACCTGCCAAAGTGTCTTTTGCAGTTGTTTCAAACACTGTTAATTTCGCGGCGCTCTCGTGGCTAAGCGGTTGTTAGGAGAAAAAAGCACCAAATGATAAATATTGATAAATTTAATCTCTTTCATTTCATATCAAGTGAACAGTTACAAAGTTGGAACAGAAAGGCACAGATTTTCTCGTACTATCTAGTTTCCTAATCTGTTATGTAAGCACGCCTTTCCGTATTGCCCCAGTGTCTACCAATCTGCTACAAATGTATCTTTTTCACATTTTTTCAATTTTTTCTCATTTACTTGTAGAATTGGATTATGACTTTAATAATGTTATAGACGTGAAAAACTGGTCATATATGCAAATTTTCATCGAAATATTTGGAGCCGATTTTGAGAAAGATTTGTTTGAGCCTTTTTAAAAAAAATTACTTCATTTTCACAGAAAAGTTTTAAGTTATCGAAAATCTATATGCATAATTAGTAATTTGGAGCACTTATACTCACAAATTCAATAATGTATAAAATGGCCCACGACCTGAGAGATATGTACAAAAATTGCATTTGAGTATTTTTTGAAAAATCAAAAGAATATATCAAAATGGATATAATACTATTCAGTGTATTTAGCGCAATCTGTTCAAAAAGTATCAAGAAAAAGTTTGGAGCCGGGTTTGAGAAAGATCTGTTTTTATTATTAACCATATTTCAATTAAAATTTACGTAAAATACTAATATTTTCAAAAATATGTATATGACATTAATTAAAGAAAGAGTAGTGGAGAACAAATTTAATTTGAATACATCTTCATCTTCAATAATATAGTTTACAAAAGTGCAATTTTGCAAATATAGTTCAAAAACGTGCAATTTTCGAAAATTTAGAATTAACAGGAAAAAATACTCCTATGCCTTTATTGTAAGTGAATTTAATTTTTCCTTACAAGAAATTTAAAGAAAAAATTGGAGCTATTTGGGAATAAATTGAAAATATCCATGGCGCTTTATGTAAAGTACCCTCAACATTTAAAGATTTTTTCCCCAAAATCGTATTGATTTTAGTCGGTCCTAATGGATAGGGGAATATTTATTTTGAAAAAATCCGAATAATTTAGCGCTGGTGTTGTTCACAGACGGACGAATGGACGGACAAACAGTCGAACAGAGAGATGGACGGATCTTTTGAGAGAATAAAAACCTTTTTCAGATTCTCGGGGAACCCAGAACATGTTAAAATCTCGAAATCGATTTTCCGCGGCATCACATAACTCTCCAAAGTGTATTACTTCGTGTATCCGTACGTATACGGGAAAGTAACCAGTGGTCCTACAAATAGCACAGACTTACTCCTACTAGTTAGTCAAGACTTGCATTTTGGTTTCGCTCCAACTTTTTGTGACAAAACAACGACTCATTTTCAGAAAGATCTTGTAATTCATTCATTCAATAGCGTGCTACGTGGATCGGAAAAAATCTGGAAGCTAGTAAATCGGATGCGTGTATGGAAAAACACATTCGAATGAATTGTTTTTGTTCGTCAATGAATATGGAACCATTCTGTTTTTCCTATCACATCCATCCACTTCAAGCAAAGTAATGCACAGAAGATAAAGATGCGTGCACAAAGATAACGGGGCGGATTAATCAGGGAATTCCGGAATCACTTGGCAAAAGAGGTCTTGAAGAGACTGCTCGTGCGACCTGGAATATAAAACGTTGAAGACCTAGTGGAAGTTACAGTTGCCGTTCGCGCGACAACTATCGCAGAGCAGGAACTGTAGAATAATCCTTTGCGATTTTGAAGAATGCTTCGCTTTATAGCTCCGCTCCTTTTGGTGAGCGTCGCCATAGGTAAGGCAAATAGAATTGCACACTTCATCAAATTCATATTTTACCTAATTTTAAGGGCGTGTACTTATATATGTATGTATATACGTGTGTGTGTTTTTGGATATATGGATGTTGGTATGTACGAGATCGACGAACTCCGACACCGTGTGACCAATCTTCGTGAAGTGAGCGCGTAGGCTTCCGCGGCCGGAATCAGTATTTACTAGGCTGTCCGGGTGACGGAATGCCCTGGGGGCATTACGCCCTGAGGAAGGTCGCAGAATGGCGACCGAAACGTCGGCACCTTTGCCATGGACGCGGCGTCACCCGGACAGCCTAGTAAATACAATCTTCGTGAAACTACATGTTTTTTCATGGAGAAGGTTTTTATGCTGTTTATTTTGTTGTAACTCCACTAGAAGGCACTGCAGCACAAGATGGCGCTACTTTAAAATGCAATTCCCAATCCACATGGTCTTCATTGTTGCTGAGCGTTGCTATGTGATGCAGAACAAGGCCGTGGAACGAAAGCGAGGGAGAGGGGGAGTATGTAATGAATTAATAAGGAAACTCGTGGAATAGTTGGTCAGGTGATGTACAAAGATACTTTTTATACCAATAATTTAGTATGAAAAAAAAAATTATTGGAGGCTTTATTTCTCCTTGCTTCCTTGCAAACTGTTAAATGGGTATTCATAAACAATTAGAATGTAATTAAGTGCTTTGAAATTACTATCCGTAACAATTTTAACAAACTATTGACACATAGGAAGAATTGTGCCTCTACCTGTAGGATTTTTTACATTAATGGCCGAAAAAGGTTATTAGATACATTTTGATGAAAGGGTGCATCAGACTGTCGCAAACCCTAAAATAAATGCTTTCTAGGGAAAATCTAACAACGTACGAAAATTAAGAACATTGACAAGCGAGGTGGCTCACCACCGCCTGTTTAAACATTAATAAAAAACATTCACTGTGATATGATCTCCAACAGATGCTATCTTCTTCTTTTCTAACTCTTAACTTTGAAAACTAGCCGTGTCAGCAGTCAGAGGGCCGATCGCCTTATGCAGTGAAATTACTTTAGCGTGGTCGCTGAAGGTTGAGGGCTCAGCTGACGAAAGAGTCCGTTCCTCAACTTATCAGTTCAGGGGGGGGGGTGCATCCCTTCCCAGGACGGGTTGACCGCCGTACTCCAGTTGTGTCAAACGTGTTGACCCTGTCTATTAGTCTCTGCGAGGTGCAAGTTTTCAGTTGCGTTTTCCTAGAAGTTCTGTTTTGATCATTGCAGTGCATGTGGTTCAGAGGAATTTGCCTAAGAACGACCTTCACAGTCAAACAAGTCAAGTTGTTGCAAAAGTATATCAATTTATAAAAATAGGAGCAAACGAAGGTGGTATACATTTCAAAGCAGTTCTTACGGGTGTAGTTGCTGCTTCGAATGTTTCCAAAACATATGTTTACAGAATTATTAAGGAAATTAATTCTATTCAATCGGGAGAAAGGAGTTCATTATCAACTCTTAATAAAGACAGGAAGAGAAAGGACGTGGTATCTGCTCTTGTACGGTTTCGATGCGAGTATGATTCGCCATACAATGATTTAAAGTACCTTATCAAAGAAACGTTATTTTTACCGGAAACGACGTAAACGATGGGATAGTGATAGTGAAACTAGTTATGATAGTGAGGAAACTGGTATCAGTGACAGTGGGAACGATACGGATAATGAGAAAAGATTCCATCCATATCTTACGAGAGCAGAACCGTGAATTTGGTGTTTCCCCACTACCGCAGAGTGGGAGAGCGAGCGAGCGCCGCCTCCTGGCTCTCTCCACTACTTCGAGTTTCCCCCTCTACTTGCGAATTCCAGCGGCCACCCTAGAAAAAATTAGCTGCAAGTAATTTCGCAGGCTTATTGGCTGACGCAGGCGAGCATAAAAAAATAGACTGTGATCCGAGGAGTAGGGGTGGAACTAAGCTGCACTCTTGTGGGATTGCTTGGAATTAAGATGAAAAAAGGCGGTGGATTTGGATGCCATATCAAGAATGGAGATCGCAAAGATTATATATATATATATATATATATATATATATATATATATATATATATATATATATATATATATATAGAGAGAGAGAGAGAGAGAGAGAGAGAGAGCGAGAGCGAGAGAGAGAGAGAGAGAGGGAGGGGGGAGGGAGACCTTGATTCGAAGAATTTAACTGTTCCATTGAAATCGGCTAAAATTGCAGTGAAATAGTTAAATTATTCATATTATAAATCAAGGTTCTTAATAAAGAGATTTTAAGCTTTAATCTTATCTAAATTAAAAGTATTTTTGATAAATATTAACGTAGCTACGGCTATTTAAAAAAATGTTTTAACAACAATTCGCCATATTCGGACTAATGTGGGACACTGATTCAAAGAAGTAATGTTTGTTGTTCATAGAATTGTTGCCGAATAACATGCGCACCATCTCAATCTCAAATCCGTTAATGATAATACCATTAAATAACACTTTTTTTTCTAAAAAGTAGTGGAAAATACCTACAATGAGGCGTTTAGGAGGTTTGTGGCACCCCTAAACCGAAATTTACAACATATTAATTGTTACAAATGTTCTTGCATCGAAAACGTCCTTTTGTTTGCTAAGCCATTGAATTATATTTTTTCTGTACAGCCTGATTTATAAACTGCTTTTCAGTAGAACAGTTTATTTATCATTTTTTGATATTTAAAGGCTAGAAATGTGGACAGGAGTGAAACAACAATAATTTATTTTTATGCAAATGATTTTTTTGTCAATTCCAGGCTTCAGTCCGAGTCGATCCTATGGACCAGGCGGACGTATAGTCGGAGGATCGGACACAAGCATAACTAATTACCCTTACCAGGTAGGTAAATCATTGACGTTTATGTTTCAATTGTTGTTTGTATCATTCTTAATTTTACATGTGGAGACTTGGAGAGGCGTAGAGAAAAGAATGAAAGATCCACAAAATATCAATAATTGCGTTGCCAATAATATCTACCAATCTAGTCTAGTCCAGTCCCCTCACCTTTTGCAACCTGTAGTTGGAACAAACACGTTTTTAAGACGAAAAATTTCATGCGTTTTGCAAACATGATATTGATTATGAAGAACAAATACGAATAAACATTTAAAATCACTAATATTCTCTGATGATTTTCTCTTTCTCTACAAGTCAATGAATGTTAGTAAGACGCTTTTTAATCGGCGAAGAAAAGAAAAAATATGCGGTTTTAAACTAGGATTTGCTGCCGAATCTTTGGAAAACATAATGTGTAATTGAGTATGAACAAGGTTTGTGTTCTGTTCTTCCTCAGCATTTTCCCTTAGGAGTTTGCCGTTTTGACCCTCCAGAACTCGCGCTCCTCAATCTTGTGAATTGATGCCTCTATCTTCCATAGCTTCATTGATGTTTTTTTCCAATTCTAAAACTGGTCTCCCTCTTCTCCTCCTCTCAGGTGGTTGCCAATTTAAGATCTTGGGTGGTCATTTGTTTTCCGACTTTCTCTGAACATTTCCATACTATTGTAGTGCTCTACATTCCAAGGTCATCCTTCCCATTCCGGAATCATCGTTCTCCATACTTCTTCATTTCGTACTCTGTAGCTACGAGCCAGTTGCACGCATCGTCTCATGCCTATTTCTACTGTTCTAATCTCCTCTCTTTTTTTTTGTGTTTGTGTCCACAGTTCCACTCCGTTTAGTACTTTATTTTCTACTAAACAGTGGAATATCCTTCTTTTGACATCTTGGCGGATATTGTAACTTCATTATACGCCATGTAAAGCTTGGATTGTTTTCTTCCCCATAAATACTCTGGCACGTGTACCCGAGTGGTTTATTAAAAATCCATGATACTTGAAGGCGTTACAGCTTTTAATTTTGTTACTATTCACGTTTATATCCGTTATTGCTTATTAAATGCACATACATTCGGTTTTATTAAAATTTATTTCTAATCTAACATTCTTCTATTAGCTTTCTTAGTACATAAACCAAATTATCTTCATCTTGGGAGAATATAACCTGGTCATCATCAAATAGAAGGGGTGAAAGGTTTCGTCTCCAATTTTTATTCCCATGCCTGATCATTTCCTGTACCAATTATGTAGGTCTTGTTTTACACAGATATTGAAAAAAAATAGGTGACAACCCACATCCTGGTTTTGGGCCCTTGTTTATCAGAAAGCTTCCAGATAACTTATCTCCAATTTTTATTTGTGCTTCGGTGTTTTTGTAAAGTTTTTTTAACCAGACTGATCATTTTTATTTTATATCAACCCTTCTCAATGCTTCTCATATTTTCTTCCTTGGGACACTATCGTATGCTTTCTGGAGATCTATAAAGGTCACATAAACATTCATAATCCTGCTTTTTTGTTTCCCTATAACTTGACTGATATAGAGGATGTTATCTAGACATGATCGTCCTCGTCGAAAACCACTTCACTCAATTCTGGTACATCTTCAATTTGTTTTACCCAATTACTAGGAAGGTAATTCGCACATGATCGCTTGTCTCCTTTATTATATATTGAAGAGATATAAGATGTGTTTCATTCTACAGGTAGACTCCTCAATGACCTCGTATCTTATTGAACATTTTCTTTAGGTATCTCCATATTTTAGGGGCTCCATTCTTATATTTCCCGGTCCTGTGTCTTTATTGGTTTTTGCTTTGCATAGTGCCTTCTTAATATCATCCTCAGTTATTTCAAAATTGCTGTCCCCCACGTCTCTTATTTCTTCTTCTCCTTCACATTCTGGTCTGCTTTCTTGAAGAAGCGTTGAGTAGTTGTGTATCCATTTTTTAGAGGGGATTCTTTGTACTATGCTTTTACGCTTATTATTTCTTCCCTCTTATGAAAAGAAATATTTTTTATAAAATTTTAGGCTTCAGATAGTTTATTGTATCCTATAGTTCCATAAATGTATGTACATAACCTGTCCCAATGTTCATTTTTTTCTATTCTTATTCCTGCTTTAACTTTCTGTCGAATCAGAAGATAGTTCTGTCTTGACTCTGGCGTTTTATAATTTAACCATTTCATATTTTCATTTTTCTTCTCTTGAATAATTTCTTCGAAATTTTCAAAAAACTTTCCGTATATTTCCTTCTTCTTTCTGCTTCCCCAAGAGCTTCCTTAACTGCTTTGAAAATACTTTCCTTCAAGTTAATAAATTTCTGTGAGATCGTCCTCCTTTACCAAATTTAATTTGTTTCTCAGTATATTTTTGTAGAGCATTCTGACACTATACTGATTCACGAGGTCTGTCATGAAGATCGATTCCTTGTTCTCTATAAGCTCATTGTCTATTTTTGGAGCGGTTGTCTTTATATTCGTAAAACATACCTTTCCTACTTCCATGAAATGTTTGCTGGCAGAGTCTGTCTATATTCTCGCACATCTTTTCATGTGTTTCTAATTCTCCTCATTTTCATTAAATCTATAATTGATTTACGTTGTCTTGTGGGACTTTCCCATGTATATCAGCCTTTATATTGGAAGATTGTTTTTGTTGCAACACATTCTTGCTCTCTACATAGAGCAATAAGTCTATTTCCATTGTCATGTGCCACCGCTTCTCAAAAGAGCCGACTACTTCTTTTTTGTGGTGTCCCACTGTATAATATAAATCTACAATGACAATTAGTTCAACTTGCTTACTCACTTCTTCTATTATACCGCCAAGCTCACCAAAGAAAGCCTCTTTTTCCTCACTTAAAGCGTTGTCGTCACCATACACTATAACTATAGTTGTACTTCGGTCATGAACATTTAGTTCGTCTTTGAACAATCTTTCATTCATTTGTTCAAAATATGTAACATTTTTCTGTATTTATTTCTAATTAAGTATCGAGACGCACGTTTTTCCTTGTTGTGAGTTTGGTACTCCACTCCAGATATGACGTTTCCTAGTTCTTTTACATGCCCCTTCTTTGGTATCTGTTAGGACTACAATATTCAGTTTCAGTTTATCTATTTCTGCTACTTCTGCTTGTTATGGACTCAAACCTTGCACGTTCCATGTACCAATGGAGACAGTCGTATTCCGTAGCCAAAGTCGTCTTCGGTTGACTGTCCGCATCCGAGGCTGTTGTATTGGGGAGAATGCACCTCAAATTTTTTCCAAAGAATGCTTTGCAAGCCCATTGCTCCAACCCTCCTCCTTTATCCGGGCTTGGGACCAGCAACGGCGGCTACTGAGCTACTCGATCCACTTAGCGCCTACCGCAGACGGAGTTGTTTTTTTATGCTTTTGTCAACAAAATTAAATGTTTTAATTGTTTTGTCTTGTAGGTGTCGGTGCAATATGAAGGATCTCATTCATGTGGAGGATCCATCATTAGTGCCGAATTTATTTTGACTGCTGCCCATTGTTTTTACGAGTAAGTATGAAACCATTCACATTATTATTTCTATTCGGCGATTCTTCGACATACTCAGAAAGTTCATGCTCAAGAGTAAAATAACGTAAATATTTGGACCTCTAAAGTTCTGACATTTCTAGCTATATTTTTATTGTGAAGGATTTATTAGGTGCTTTACTATATTAAAACTGCTGAAGGCTGGGTAAGGCGTGGTATTTTAAAATTTTAATAACACTTATTTAGCAGCAATTAAGTACAATTCCATGGCAATGATTTCCAAAATAAAAAAGAATACAAATGAAGGATAATAATAATAATAATAATAATAATAATAATAATAATAATAATAATAATAATAATGGGCCTAACAGAATCATTTACAACTTAATACAGTCGACTCCGGTTATAGTGAACCTCGGTTCACTATATGATATAATGAACCCTCGGTTATAGTGAACTTAAGTCACTGGTCCCATTTCACTTACATTACAAATAATCATAAGAAGACTCGATTATAGCGTACCTGAACCTTGGATATAGTGAGCAAAGGAAATACAACGTATATCCTAGAAATTAATTCCCCCTGGATAATAATACATCACCTCAGTGCCACAAATTCCAACACTAGTGTGCTTCAAAAAAATATCGGCCAAAGGCCATAATAGAAGTAGTGGTGGTGAAGGTATGAGACTGGAAATGGGAAACTTAGTGGTCATTAAGCAACTCAGTTTCACTGTGGAAACGAAGGCCTGCGGAGGCTACAACTGGCGGCGGCGACGCGCGATGGCTTGCTTCAGTTTCAGTCTTGGTGTTACTAGATATTCCGCGGATCAAAGCGCGTTGAATTCTACATAGGCGACAGGAAGCACACGACTGCCTCAGCCTTAGGCTACTTACACACAATATAGAATCAATTATAGAGAGAGCACGAACTGTGAAGGAGGATGCTAATGAAAACTCACGAAGTAAACAATACAAATGACTTTTTAAGGACAAATAAAGATGTTGAAAGATGTCAATTCGTGCTGTTTATGTATTTTGTATATCTCTGTATTAATAAAATCAATCGTTATGGAGACATTCTGTTTTATTTTGATATCCTCGGACATAGTGAACCAAAAATGTTAGTCCCCAGAAGTTTACTATAACTGAAGACGACTTATTACACACCACAGTACTACCCATTCAATTGCATTCCTTTCCACGCCATAACTCTGCATTGTACTGCACTACCCAGTACCTCGACGCTCTTCATAGCGCATCCCCTAATTGATGACACTATTTAACTTACGTAACTTCTTAAAATGTCAATCTACTCTTTATAAAGCAGGCAGACTGTTCCCATCTCTTTCGTTATATTCTCGAATTAGCGCTGGGAGCTTCGCGTGTACCAGGGCTTCTTAAGCCAGAAATAAGAATGAATAGAATTCATAATCCGTGAATACAGAGCTCTCAGTATTGGGATGCCAACAGTTCTTTATTCTTATTTTTCCTCTGTTTCTTCTCCTTTTTTCTTCTTCCATGTACTTCATTACTTATGTCTTTTCTCTTTTTCTTTTATTTCACCGGGAGAGATGGCTCTGTTCATCAACTGATGTCACCCCAGTTCCTCTGACCGGGAGGTTTTGGGTTTGAGTCCCAACGGTGACAGGATTTTCGACTCTAGCTTGTGAGCTAGGTCGAATTCAGTCGCTGTCTGGAGGAGAATTCTAGCGGTCAGCTGCCTTGATCAGTAGTTTTTAGTGGTTTCGTCGAACAGCACCAGGAGAACGCTGTAGCAGTACCCTAACGGGCCACGGTCCGCGCGCGATCTTACCTTCCTCTTCCTTGTTCTATACTCTCTCCTTACACGCAGACCCTATCAAGCACTACACTACCATACATCCCGAGAGATCAGTCGGGAGCTTAGAGCTTGTTCCGGCTGGGGATATGGCCCTCTGGTGGGAGATAACTAGTTGGGGAAAACTCCACTAGCGGGTAGATCGGCGCCGGATCTTGCCTTACACCCCCACCTCCAGAGCTAACACATGTATTACACTTACGGGACTAATAACCGTATTAGTACCGCTTTCTCTTCCCCCCTTCTGTTTTTTCTCATCCTTCTTTTTTTCTCTTATCAGTGGCCCTATTAATGTTAACGTGACAACACGAGCGTCTAGCCCATAAATGTGAAGCAGGTTGCGAATTGCCAGCCGACAGCGCTGCGTTAACCAGTGAGGTAAATGTAAGTGGCTCCGTCCCTGCCCCCGCAGCCGCGACGCCGCGTACTCGGTGCGCGTGGGGTCGAGCGTGCGCGACGCGGGCGGCGCGGTGTTGGACGTGGCCGAGCGCCTCATCCACCCGCTGTACGAATACGGCGGCGGCAGCGAGGACTACGACGTGGCGCTGCTGCGCCTGCGCGCGCCCATCGCGTTCTCGGCGGCGGCGCAGCCCGTGGCGCTGGCGGCGCGGGACGAGGAGGTGCGCGCCGGCACGCCGGCCGTCGTCACCGGATGGGGGCTGCTAAAGGTGGGTGCCCTCGCCGTTAGCGTTACTGGTGCCGGTGTCGGTACCAGTGCCGGTGTCGGTACCAGTGCCGGTGTCGGTACCAGTGACGGTGTCGGTACCGATGTCGGTGTCGGTGCCGGTGTCGGTACCGATGTCGGTGCCGGTGTCGGTGCCAGAGTCGGTGCGGGTGCCGGTGTCGGTGTCGGTGCCAATCGACAAGGCGCGATACTTTACTTACTGACTGACTGAAGACTTACTTAAGTTCTTATTTATTGCTCTTGATGCGATCACCAAATGCTGTTCTTGTTAGATAGCATTTATTGATTCAGAGTGCTCCTATCCTTGCCTCTAAATATAGTGTATGTTTCATCCAATAAGGTGTAGGCGTTCCTTCCCCATTGGAAGGGGGGGAGGTCCGGCACCGACAATCACGATGGCATGCGGGAATTTTTTTTCTCTAGGTATCGCCCCAGCCGGGCCAAGTTGTAAGCTCCTGACTTATGTGGTATCATAGTGTGTTAAAGAATAAGTGTGTATGGGTAAGGGAGAGAAGGGATCAATGATTAGGAAGGAAATATCCAGGATAGGAATATAGTCCGTGGATCGTTTGCTCACACTGCTCCTTCATTCACCTAGCGTTAAAAAACACGAAAATTTACCGATCAGAGCAGGTGGCTGCTGGATTTGTCCTCCCGACAGCGGTTGAATTCAGCCGAGCCATGTAGCTAGTGACCACATTCTCCAGTACCTATTAGTAGTAACATGGGACTCCAACGACCTCAACTAAGTGACAATTTATTGTTTTGAATAAATTGGGTACAAATTACAAACACATTACGTCAAATTGGACAGGGAAAATTAATCTTTTGTACGGCCTCCATGCTTACCCTCTGAATACGACACTCTCGTGTAACACCAAAGAGTTTTCAAGTGAAAATAGAGCACGTTTTCTTTAATTTTTCATATAAAAGCAGAAGCGGTTGCTGTAGTATATTAAACACCGTAAATTCATATTTTCCTGTCCGGTTGATCGTGTGCTGGTCTTTCTGCAGTCGGGTGGTTCGTTAGCCACAGTCCTGCAGGAAGTGGAGGTGCCTGTGGTCAGCCCCGAGGACTGCAACAACGTGTACTGGGGATCTATCACCCCCAGGATGCTGTGCGCGGGCTACCCGGAGGGGGGCCGTGACGCTTGCTCGGTAAGTTACCTGGCGCTCAGATCACTCAGGTGCACAATATTGCGTTCAAAGCAACAGCAGAACGAATCCGGCTGCGTCTAACAGAATGATGTTAGATTTCTGGATTAATTGTAATTGATTCTCTTTGTACAGCCCTGATTTTTGGAACAAACATTCGGGAACATTTGTTTCCTCTAGGGTCTCAAATTATCATACATTTTGGGTAGGATTTGAGAATTTTTCTAAGGTTTTTTGATTTTGGTGTTTATTTGCCCATAGGAGCCAATGTTAATTGTTTCTCTTAGTACAGCCTTGATTTTGGGTATAGAAATATGGAATTTTTTTCCCTAGAGCCTCAAAATTAGCTTTAAATTTTGGATGTGGTTTCAAATTTTTGAATTGATTTTTAGATGGATTTTCTAGGTGGGTGCCTCTAGCTGTATTCAAAGCTAGCAACGCTCACGATTTTTGGTAATACAAAAGAGCCTAAATTCGCAAACAGAGCATTTAATTAGTCTCAAACTAGCCTAAAAGTTTGGATATGGTTTGATTGAAATGTGTTTTTGGGCGCTGTTAGGTAGATGGTCAAAGTTTCTGCGGCCAAGTTTGCATAGTATTATTTTGTCGCCCTTACGAAGGTACATCGTGGGAAGAAAAAGTTATGTTGTCGTGGCCCGGATAACGCCGAATTTTCGGCAGAAAATCTCTTATTTCCGGGGCCGGGTAACGAAAAAGTGGGTAAATACTGTTGCTTTATTTAATAAGTCACTTCTTCTAATAAGTGGTGCAGCCAGAATCCATGTTTTGTGAGTCCTTGATGCTTAAAAATTTGTTCGCGGCAAAACGTCAGACTGTCCGTCTGGGGCCAACGCTAGTGCCTCATATGTTCAGTGGAGTTTCTCCAAAATTGCTATTTCCTTATCGATCGGAACGATCTGGGGACTTTGGGAGTTCCAACCGGATATTTTGATTTTTGAAGGTACTGTTTAAGATTGTGAAAATTTAAAAACATTTTCAAAATTTTCCCAAAGATAGCACAAACATATTTGATTAAATGTTGCCCTCGGACGCGTAGGAGAATAGTGTACGTAAACATTTAAAAACTCTAAAATAGAAGATACAGATTTTTGTCTCAGACAAAGTGTGTTGTAAAATAGCAGGTCTTTGAAAAACTATATACAATTTTTTGAAAGACTTGCAGCTTACGCGCAATTTGTGCTTGAAATTTATGCAACTTCTATAAAAAAATATTTATCTAAAAATGCTTCAATAGTTTTTACCGTAAGGAAAACAGACTCTTATAAGATTGTAGCTATTTTCGTTAAACTCTCCTGTTGTTGCTATTAAATTTTCGTTAAACTTTCTGAATTTTTGAAAATTTGCAAATTTACAAATAATGCGAGAATCAATGTGTTGGTGTAGCCCCACTAGTTACCTGCTAAGCAACTAGACTACCCGGGAGACTCCGCCTCCTTGGCACGCCCGCCAACGTTTCGGCCGCCATACTGCGACTCTCTCAGGGCGAACTGCATTTCGGCATGCCGGCCGAAACGCTGTCATCTGTGCCAGGAATGCGTCGTCTCCGGGGCAGCTAACTCCATATACCATAAACGCCAGAAGCCTATGCTTAATCGAGTTCTTTTGCTCCGCAGAGCGACTCTGGTGGTCCGTTGGTGGCGAATGGGAAGCAGATCGGAATCGTGTCGTGGGGTTCAGGCTGTGCTCTTCCGAACGTCCCCGGAGTGTATGCGAACGTGGCCGCGCTACGCGAATGGATCTTCCAGAACTCCGGTGTTTGACAACGACCACACTAGCTTCCCCGTGGGTCACGGTATGGATTCACCTGCTGATGCTTTTTCTCCTCGGTATATAATAAACCACTTTTCCTAGATATTATGAATTGTTTACTTATTCATTTTTCATTTCGTTACAGATTTGTAAATAAAATCATTTTACAATGTATTGTTTGTCAGATATTGACTTCAATCATCAACCTGAAAAATGTTAATTGAGAGTGTCGAAAATGCTATTTGTTTGTTTTGGTTTATAAGAAAAGCTTAGAATGTTCTCGGTGGTTTCCGCAGAAATTATGAAACTCCATAATTGTAATACAGCGGGTGGAAAAAGAAATGATCTTCCACAAACAGAATGTATTAATTAACTGTACAGTCAGTTACAGCAATAAACATACAAACATGTTTCGAGGTATTTTACCTCATCTTCAGTGTCTCCAACAGATTATTAAGGAATACCATAAAATGTAAAACATAAAATTGTAAAACTAATAAAGAACACAACCATTATTAAAAAACGTACAAAATATTATTATTTACCCAAGTAACGTGGTCAAAATGACTCGCGGTGTGTTTCTCACACGGTGCGATTTTGTGCATTGTCCTCCGGGGGAGGGGGGTCTGCTGATTTACATTTCAAAAAAAATTCCTCATGGTGTTCAACATGGTGAGTGTTGTATATAAGCATTGCTTGTAGTTACGGTGCCAAGCCAATATTGTTTTTTCATAGAGCTTCCGAAAGTCTAGCAACATTGGAAGTTTCGAAGACGAGTGGGGAAGTTCAACTTTGAAAATGCGACAACTACGTTTCTTTCCGGGTTTGAAATGAAAATTTTTGCATGCAAATTTTTCGCTAATACTCACCATTCGATCTTCAATGAAATAAAAGTCTAGATGTTTGTAATATAAGGTGTTTGTAATACCAACTCCATTTGTATCCTGTTGATAAGATTTCCGAAAAAAGTTCGAAATACAACTTAAAATTCAGTTTACTTAGAGAATCAACCCACGTGCCAGAACATCTAGAAAGAGAAACTCATAGTATTATCCTTTGTGTACTTAAGCGGATTTGCTTCAGGACACTGGTATTTCCGATGAGAACAACATTGCTTTTGCCGTGAAATTACATCTCAGCGCATGATCAGCGGAGTGTGAGACTGTGGTAGTGTTGTTTTTCCACGCTTATTCGTGTTCTTTGGTTTTCTGTGTGCATTTTCGGCCTGTTTGTCCTAGGTATGTGCCATATATTACAAGGTATCTACCCCACCAGCGATCTAATTAATATATTCGTGAAGTTTGAACTCTGAACTTTTAAATGAAATCTCTTTGACGTACTCAAATGGTAAGTTGATCTCTAATAGCACAGGTCTACGAAATAAAACGTCATCAGCAATATAAGCATATTTTTCTAAACCAGTTTTTTACACAGATTACGTTTTTGCATTCAAGTTTGCGCCATCACCCACCATTTTTTCTACAATATCCATTTATTACACTAAATCCATTTATTATCCATTTATTACACTAAACATCGGCTGTATTCCATTTCCTTATAACTGGTGTTGCTAAAGCTTACTCAGAACTGTCATGAGCTCGCACGTGTCTTGTGAACTGATTCAGGATCTACGGTGCGAATCATCTGCCGTCACTGAGTCATTCCAGAAACCTTGGTAGCGTGGTTCCGTTGTTCTGATGTCTCAGTGCAAACGCTCACCATACCATGCTCATTACTCACGTCACTGAGTGACGATGGGTCTTCACCAAACAATTCATCCAAGCTTTACATGAAGAAGGGGAGAAGTTGGGGTCAACGAGAGGAACGCTGAGAATTCTGTTTTCCAGGCGCATTCGTCACTCTTCTGTTGTCTCTTCTTTATCTGTTTTGAGATACGCTAGTCTAAATAAAAGCTCATTTCATCACCAGCAACAGCATTTTCTGTAGAAACGTCCTGTTGGAAATTTGCTTAGTCGCCATATGAAAACCGTCCTATATCCGAAACTATTCGTGTTAGAGAACATCTAAGAACATATTTAGAATCAGGGTGTGTCTTTTGGTAAATATCATATATTTTATTTTCTGATGATTTTTTAAATTGTTGATCATTAAGTTCTTATTTTGGGGGATAATTCGCACATTCCGAATATTGAAACCATCTTATCATAAAAATGATTCTTGCTAGAGAAATTGTGAGTACCTATTTGGAATCAGGGCGTGATACATAATAAATCACACATAGTTTAATTTCTGATGCTTTATCATTGTTAACCTGTGTAGTTAATGAAGTTTTGAAGTGTCAGCGCACAAGATGTGTTTAAATTAAAGATCATTTTTCCAAATGTATTTAGTTAAGATGAAAATCATTGCTTCATTAATATCAAAAGCTCTCACACTTAGAGGCCGCTTTGGGTATAAGGAAAAGAAGAATCTAAAAGCGGAAAGAGACATCTAAACCGATATCCACAAATATAATTTCCTGGACTGCGAAACAGAGGAAATATTCGACACACTCAACGGAATAAAATAAGACCGAGTCCTCGTCTAAGAGCGGAACTTGTGGCACATCCCGCACTCAACTACTTCACAGAGATTCCCGCACTAAACTACTCTACATTGCCGAATTTGATCTGACTCAATGTCAGTAAATCACAAAATGTAGTGTTCAGCCCCCAAAATTTTCCCCCCTAGCGTGGCAGTATCACTGTTTTATAAAAGACTCCCACCAGTCTTATAAAACATATATCGCTTTTTTCATACCAAGGGGAAATATTTTTTGTGTTGTTCGTATTTACGTAATGTTGTACGCGGTAGCGTAGTAACAAAATGGGGGCGTGCCCGCCAGCAAAACCTTTGTCCGCGCCCCCTTTAAAAACTTGTATAGCAAACACAAATAGTGTTTGTACGTTAAATAATAAAAATATCCCCTAAGCCCCCCTTTACCTGGTCCTGCCCGCACTGCTGACATTGCGGGCGCGAACGTTACGGTCCCGGTGATATAGATGAGCCAACAATCAGCAAAATGGGCCCAAAACAGTCATCTTTGAAGTGTTTACTTCACATTATGCTGCACTGAGAGTTCATTTATAAAAGTTGAAAAATTGCATTTTGGTCACGGAATATGGTCTCAGAAACCTTATGAGCTGTCAAGGTACTTCTCAATATTTGAAAATTTCATTATAATTGAAGACGGGGAAAAGGCCAAAAGCAATATTTTGAGAAAAAATGAGAAAAGACAGTTCACATCTTTTCAGTATCTTGAATTTTATTTAATGGTTTAGTTAACTTTATAATTATATTTTCTTTATTGGAAACAATTATTTCAATAAAAACACGTAATACACAAAATTAAGTACGTACATTTTCCCCCTTTTTTGTTTCATTTTATGAACACAGACTTTTAACTTAAATTTGTGAACCGACTTCAATTGTTTAATTGCATCTGGCAGTGCGTTGTAAAGTAACGTACATGTGTTGTATTTGGATTTCTGATAGTGAGCTGTTGTTACTGACACTTGATGAACGTGATTTTTACGACGTGTGTTGTAATTATAAATATCAGTATTGCATGAAAATATGTCCCTACTATTAAGTAAGTCCCTTTGACAGAGAAAAACTGGCAGTTTCCGTAGATTTTCATTTTCTGAACCCGTGTTGTGAGACTGAAAACGCTTAGTTTCTCCTGAGAAAAGTTTCCATTCGCGTACAGAAAAGCCTCTCTGGTAATTCAGAGAAGAAACCTGACAAGAGAGAAATTGGTCGGTAATTTTAAATTTCATTTTTGCTCCCTTTTTGAAAAAAGTGGCTTAATTTTTGCTGTTTTGAAAATATCTGGAAATATTGCTGTGCATAAAGAAGCATTGAATATGTGAGTTAACGGATGTATAAAGGCAGGTACACAAGTTTTCAATTAAAAATCCGGAAATTCAAACTAAACCAGATAAATATTTATTTTTTAGTTTACTGACTATTCGTAAGATTTCTTTAGAAAAAGTTTCGGAAATAAAAATCATGTCGAACATTTTTGGGAAGGTAATGATGTTGAATTTGACGGTTTTAGTCCGTTCGTGAGTTCGTTTAATTCATTTTTCCTGCATGTTTTTGGATAAGGAATCTCCCACACAAACAAATCCGGTTTGTCAGGCCTGGGTACACTAGTATTCTAGAATCCAATTAGTTGACGCAGTAGACTCGGAGTATATGCGTCATCAACGACGGCATGTGCACGGCTTCTCAGAAAGTCTCTGGCCCACGCGTCCTTCTTTCATTTAAAAACCTGTCCCTCAATTTACCGTGAGGCTCAGTCCGCGCCACCAACTAACTCTCACGTTAATTATAATAAATTTTAATGAATAACACAAATACAATTAATACAGCTCATTTCTACTTTATAACTGAGTTTCACTTATTGGAATGGGTGGGGATTTGTCGCAAGCGTTACGAAATTATTTGAGGGGGGGGGGTTCAAGCTCGCATTACAGGTGTGTTACAGGGGGAGAGTGGGTATTCCAAATACTTCAAATTTGCGTTACGGAATTTATGGACGACCCCTCGAGGCTCTGAAAGAAACGCGCAAAGTAAAAAGGATTCCAAATTAATGACATGGATGTTGCTTCTGAAATTAATCAATTAATTAATGATTACCATCTTAATATTTAAATAAAATAAAATTAATTACTTTATATCATTACATCATTTATATATTTTTATATTATACATCTTTATATCATTATACATAATATCATTCATTCAATTTTTTTCGTGGCCGGTAATTGGCGTGAAACCTGTATATATTTCATTAGTTTCAACCGAAGCAACGCAATAATTACTCTTCTTTTCAAAAACCTGTACATAATCTTTTTTAAAGAGCTAATTTTATACAACAGATTTTGTTTGAAGTAAAAATGAGATTAGCGCTATATCTCTTATCGTTCTTTATTACATAGTGAATAACATTTAAAGAAAAAATGGAGCGGATTTTGAGAATTTTTGTTGTTTTAAATTGTAATCGCAAAATACGCAAAAACTACCAGTTTTTTCAAAACCTTGTTTAAAGAGCTAATTGTGTACAACATACTTTGTTTGAGACAAAATCTCAATCTACTATTTTGAAGTTTTATGTTTCTCTTTTTCAATTTTCGAAAAATAAGAGAAGTCAACGAAAATGAGACCTGGACTATTCTCGTAAACGTCTTTTGTACTATTCAACAACAAAATTTAATCAAAACATTTTGAGCCATTTAAAAAAGAAATGATTTCCCACGGGCTTTATGTAAAGTAATCCCCAATATTAAAATATCAGTTTCAAATTCAAGGGTCCGCGGAATTAGGTAAAACGATTGGGGAATATCAATTTTGGAGAGAATCGGCTGAACGGTTTATTCCCAAGCGTTATACACGGACCGACGCACAAACAGGCACACGTTTTGCTGTCAATGTTTCGGTATCAAGGACCAACAAAACTGGAATTCTAGCTACACCAAGTGTTAGAGAACTTTTTCTGTATTTAACAACTGGATTTATTCAA